ATTCCTGTCTCATTACCAGATGTGTCCCAACTGCTCTTAAACATATAGTTGTACAATGTCTGATCAAAAAGAAAAATCTAGATCTCTAAATTTTTATCTAAAATTTTTGAAAAGTTGTTTTTTATCCAGATTCATTCTTAGTCACCAGTGATATATATGAGAAGTTCCAATCTGGCTTCAAACTTTTTCATAGCCCTGAGACAGCACTGTTAAAAGTTTTTCATTATTTAATGGTGACTATTGACTCAGGAAATCCTGCCATGCTAATGCTCCTTGATCTTACAGCTGCCTTTGACAATGCGACTTGAGCAAGGGGTGGGCATTACAGGATCTGCTCTCTCATGGTTCCAGTCTTATTTGACTTATTGGAGCTTTTCTGCTTGGTGAATTCACCTTATAATTAGCCCCTCTCAGTTCTGGGGTTCCATTCTTGGACCGATTCGTTTTCTCCTGTATATCTTACCATTGGGGTCAATTTTCAGGAACCATAATCTTTCTTTTCATTGTTGTGCTGATGACGTCCAGATTTACTCTTCTTTAGCATAGCTATAACATTTTTGGAAGGGACTATGACAGCTTTACTGGGAAATCAATTTTGTGTGATCTGGTCACCCTGAGCCATGGTCATCTTAGGGTTTTATGAGCAAAAATAATTAAAGTAGTCCTTTGCTTTAAATGAGTTAATGATAATTACTTATGTAATGTTGCACTCAATGGAAAACACCGTATTGCTTCACTATTTTTGAATACTTTAGCCAAAACGGCACAAATCAAGTAGCCTTGCACATTTCACTTGAATATAATAAGCAAAACATAGGTGAGTGCTGACTTTTTTAATTAGCGAAGCCCACTGCTGGCTAAGTATAAGACAAAATTAACTTAACACAAGTAATCAACATTCTTTCAAGTCTTTAGTTCTTGCAAATACAGTAAAACTTTACCTCAGGACAGTAAGTTTGGAGCGTTTCTTGACTCGACCACTCCTTTCCTGGGTTCGAAGTGGATCTTTGCATACATCTTTACAAATGTTCCTAGCAGTGAATGCCAGCCACAGCATTGTTGATAATGAAGCATAATGGAGTAAAATCCCAATCTATCACATCAAACAAGGATAAACTTAGAGTTAGAAACATCAGTTCAATAGATTCTGTAAATTATCCAACATTTAACACATGAAACAGTAAAAAAAACAAACAAACAAACAAACCCACAATTTGCCAAAAAAAAGGAATAGGCTGAAGCAAAGTTTATTCTTGCCTACCCTGTTTTATACTTAAAACCTTTACAACCTAACAGGATCTAAACAGTAAGTATTTAAATATTCAAATCTACATATCAGCATAGGATTTTATCATTTTACAGTTTAAAGCTCTTTTGAAATTCACCAAGAAAGGACACAACTTAAAATCATAATTCAGTTCATTCCAGTTTCACACTAATAACTGAAACACATCCAGACATTATCTGGCTCTTCTCTGAGGATCTGTAAGCCCAAATGACATGTGTGGTACATTATTTGAAAGCTAACACCTTTTAGTTTCTGAAAATACTAAAAGTGGGTGAGTAAAGCACAGCCCAAGCTGCAGCAGTTTTAATAGGACTCAAAGTTTTTTTTTTTATCTTGAAAATATTATGCGACTGTCCCTGACTCAAATCGCATCATAAAAAGATGCAGACACTTTTGTCTTGAAGGCAAGAAGACGATGTAAAGAACCATATCAAACATTGCGGGCTAACAACTGAGTAAGAATTAGGAAGTAAATATTAGCAAGATGCTAAGCATTAGCTATGGCCAGCTAATTTTTCTGACGTCAACAACAGGACGTGATGTGGCGATTTATTTATCATGGAATATTTTTATTACAAATATTCTGGATTACTTTTAATCTGTGGCCCCTTATGGACAAATGAAAAATAAACAATTGAAGATTGGATTTATAAAACGGCTTCTGGACGCCTTCAAAGCGATGTAGTTGTGGCTGATTTGTCATGTTTAGATTTTGACATGCTGCTATATCTGTGTTAATTGTGCTTCGGTGCTCGCTGTGTCCATAAAATTAACTTGGTGGTTGAATTGTTGAAAATCTAAGCTTTCCAACAATGCTAACATGTGTGTAGTGGTAAACATCTTACCGGTGTAATTATCATTTGTTCTGAGTAGTTAGTTGTAAACTCTTGGAAACGGTTTGCCAGCGACCTGCATATTATATTTATTCTCTCTTAACTTAAATAATCCTGAATACCAGAAGGAAGATTTTTGCCTTATACATTATTTGCCTTATTTTTATATAAACAATATCTTTAAATTGTAATGTGTTGGTGTGAATGAGGAGTTTATCTGTTGGTTCACGGTATTCAAACTTATTAGTAAGCCTCTATATTCTATATATACTGTGTTATATACTATAACACAAAAAGAACTAAGCTTAATAAAAAAAAATAATCTGCTTTAACAGTTAGGCTTCAAAGTGCTTTTACACTGATCGCGGTGTCTGCTAACCTGACTCCGCCAGATGGATTTGCTCCGCATATCTGTCTGGAAACCTTCTGTTGAAGTAATTTTGGGAAGGGGCGAAAATACTGGTTAGCTGATTGGCCTATGTTGGTGATAGACGGGCGAAATAAACCAATCAGTTAAACGAAGCATATGACGTACAAACAGAGCGACGACAAAAACACAACCACAAGCCAGGCTACTCTTGCAGAAACCAGTCGGGAGAAGAGCAAAAACATCTTTTCCTCTGAGAAAAGCCTCCAGAGCAGTGTTTTGCTCTTCTTTCAGTGAAGAAATACTCTGTAATTCCGATAAAACTTGCTTGATAGCCACGCTAATGCTAGTTTCATCGGCTGAAGCCGCCATGTTCTTTAGACTGAACTGTCGCGCTTCTCGTTGTGTCACACCTCAACCCGCCTCAAAGCCAACCCTGATTGGACGTTCGTTTGGTGAACGGCTCCAAATTTTCTTTAACGAAGAGTCTCCAGACTGATCTGTGAGTGAAACCTTGAAAGCTCGTGAGATCAGGATGGTCTCACGAGGCTAGGTGTCTGCTGCAAGGGTGGGGGGTTTCCATAGCATCCCTATGAAAACCACATGGGCAAGAGATGTGAAACAGCCAATGGTGAATTCTACACAGTGAGAGTGATCAGCGCACCACCCTCACTGCTTGCTGCTTGACAGAAGTGAGGTGTTGTCAAACAGCAGCATCGCACAGAGAGAAAGGAGCAGTGATTGCTGAAGTGAAAAATTCTGAGCTCTTTGGTAAAATCGTGTTGTTGCAACCAATATGGGAACGGTTGTGGTTGTGATGTAGGTTGAAGAAGTGAAGCCAAATCAAAGTTTTTTCAGTCAGAATGAAATATAGAGGAAATAAGGTTGAAAAAGGATTAAATGAGGAAGGATGAAAGTTTGCAGGTGACTTTTGAAAAAAGCCATTTTGATTTAGCCCTGGAAGTTCTGTTCAGCACTGCTGCTTTCTTTTTTGCTAGATACAAGGATGTACCACCGAAGCCTCTAGATGAATCAAAGTGGTCTACTTTTTCTATGCTTTTGGGGTTTTCCAAAAGTGATGCTTTTCCCAAGCAGATTCAAAAGTGGTGCATAGAAAACAATTTAGCAGCAGTCTATAATATTAGCCTTTCCTCTATGTTTTTATTGGGAAGTCTCGATAGCAAGATCTTCACGGGGGATGCCACGGGGTTGCCAGGGGTGAAGGCAGACCTTAACTGGTCTGTTCCTGTTTGGCTGTGACTTCATCCTGGACAGAAATGTCAGCTGTGCTGCTGCCATCAACACCTTTGTTTATAGATGTTGGAGCTTGGCCTGTTTTCCAGTGCAGTCCTGTTTCTCTGACTGTAACTAACTGGATGTGCTCTCTTCATCCTCTTACATGGGAGCTGGCTCAGAGCTGCCTGGCTGTGTGTTTCCTGGACGGGGCCGCCTCTGGATGCTGTGCATTGCCTAGATATCTGGGTCCTGTTCAATGCTTTCTTCCAGGTGACCTCTGAGGCTTCCGAGGTCTTGTTTGGATTCACAGATGATGCTTCCAGATTAAGAGCGGCATTAATTTCAGGATAATTTAACATTTGCTCAAAGTTGCCAAACAATGCCCACAAAAGGCTACAATTACAGTGATTAACAGGATATGTGTTATTAACATATTGTCTTTATAAAAGAGCAGAATAAGTCATACTTACAATCTGACAAGCCAAAGGAAAGTGAATCTGATTGATGCCTCCAGCAAATACCCCAAATGTCAGTCCTGTATGAAAGAGGAGGTTGAGGAGTGTGTGCCAGCCCCTCCTGCTGATGCGGATGACACTGTAGACAGTGAAAAAAGAAAGTCATTATGAAGTGGGAGTGCAGTCCACCTTCCCTCATCCTACTGCTGACTTAACAGCCGAGGGATGTGGAAATCTGAACAAAAAATCTGGTTGGAGATTGTCTAACAGATAATATGCATGAAACTAAACACAGATTAGTTTGATCTCCTGGCCCGTACTTCATTATCATCCTCCATCAGATAGACATGCTCACTACCGTGTGTTCTCCCTCTGCAGAGGATCCTGCCTTAGGTTTCCCGCTGTTCAATGGAGATCCGTTTACTTCGTAAACGTTTTTGAGAAATGTATCTGACTGCTTCGAAAACTGGATCCTCTGTTCTGAGCCTTCACAGAATAATCTGGCTAAAATATGGATCAATCAGTGGACGGACAGTGGTGTTCTGGTGTAGCAAATTCAGTTTCCCAGCTGGAATCATGTGAAGGAAATCCTAACACAATTGCTAAATCAGACTACTCCCGCTCCCGCGCCCTCCTGCTTATGGTAGCTTCCGTTTCAATGTCACCTGCTGTCAGAAGCCGTATCTGTCGTCCCCTGAGCTGTTTAAGGGAGATCCCAATCAGTGGTGGGCTTTTCTCAATCACTGTGAAGTTCATTTCGAGCTTCAGCCTTCAACTTACCCTTCTGATAGGTCCAAGGTAGCCAATGTTATCTTGCCTCTAGTCGGTAAAGCTATGGCAGAACAATCCTAGTTTATGTATTTCTTTGGTTTTTTGGTTTCCCTTGACCAGATTGCTATGGATCAACTAAAGTGAGCGTAGTTATCAACTGGCCTGTACCGAAATATAGAAAGCAAGTTTAGCGATTCTTGCGGTTTGCTAATTTATACAGACGCTTTATCAGAAACTACAGTCAGGTTGCTGCGTCCCTTCATGCTCTCGCCTCAGCTAAAATCAAGTTCTGTTGGAGCGAAGAGGCTTATTGAGCCTTTCAGAGACTCAAGAATCTTTTCACTTCTGCACCTGTTCTGGTTTCCCCAGATCCAAGTTGACAATTATCGTGGAGGTGGATTCCTCCAGTACTGGAGTCGGGGTTGTCCTAAGTCAAAAAGCCCAAGATGTCAAGATTTACCCCTGCGCCTTTTTCTCTAAGGAGCTTTCTTCTGCCTCCTTGGTCTCCCGACAGACATGATCTTTGACAGGGGTTCTCAGTTTGTGTCCAGGTTCTGGAGAGAATTATTCGCTATGTTGGGATCTCTGTCAGCCTGTCATCAGGTTTCCACCCCAAGAGGGACAGTCAGACAGAGAGGGCCAATCAAGGCTACTCAATGTGGCCATGAGGTGAAGACTAAGCTACGCGTTTTGTGTGGGTCAGTTCCCATTAAGTGGTCCAGTCAACTTAACTGGATCGCACATGGCATTAGCTCTGCTCCTTCTAGCACCACTGGACTCTCTTTATTCTAAGTTATCTTTGGGTTTCAGCCAGTGGTGTTCACCATCCAGGAGAAGGATTCTAAAGTTATGTCGGCCAGTTATCAGCTTTGAGGTGCCAGCAAGCCTCAAGGAGAGCTATTTACATTGCTTCAGATAGTCAAACCAAGGCTACTAGACCCCGGAGAGTTCTGGCACTTGAATACTGGGAGGGCCAGAACGTTGGGCTCTTCACCAAAGACCTGTCTTTGAGGGTGGAAAGCAGGAAGCTGCTGGCCCCTTGGTTCATCGGGGCGTTCCTATTGGTAAAGTGGTGAACCCTGGTGGGCATCCGTTCCCAGTTTCCTCTTTCTATGAGAATTCACCCTACTTTTCATGTGTCCCGGGTCAAACTTGTTGTAACTTCTACATTTCTGCTGTGTCTTGTTGGTAACCAACCAGCTGGAACCAACCTTGTCTTCTTGGCAGGGACTGAACTTTAAGACCAGGTTAGTGACTCACACATAATCATCCTACGCCAGATAGACGTGGTCACCAACCTGTGTTCTCCTGCAGAGGTTCCTGCCTTAGACGCCCCCGCTGTTCATTGCAGATCTGTTTACTTAATAAACCTTCTTGAGAAATCTGTCTGCTTTGAAAACTGGGTCTTCTGTTCTGAGCCTTGATACTTAACAGGTTTTGTAATTTCCAAAGTCTTGAACAAAGGGGTCTATTTGCTAACAGGAAAACGACAAAAACTTAATAAACAACTAATGTAAAGAATGCCAAAGGCAAATGGTTTTGTTGCATATCTAAACCTTTCTATGTTTCTGGGACCCTACAAGGCCCATAAGGCTTCCCCTGAGATATGGTGGACCATTTGTTCTGAGCTCTTAGGCGCTGTGTCATTGCACAGAGCCTGTTTAGAGGCAGAATGTTTCTGACCTTCATCTCAAAAGCATGATTGGAAAGTAAAGCTTGCAAATAGGAGCCACATGGGTTGGCTTGTCTTATAGAGTACTGGAAGAATTCATATAGCTGAGCAAAAGATTAATGAAGAAAATATACCAGGATATTCTTGAGAACACAAGGAATGTGCATTTCTATGTAACACCACGGTTCTCTAAACCCAGCCAAGAATCTCTTAACTGGTTTCAGAGAAAGACAGTGAAACTACTAAGATGTTTTCAGTCAACTCAAATGAATATCACGGGGCAAATATCAGTTTGCAGTATTTATTTTTTGTGTCCATCTACACTGCCTCAATCACAAAATTTCTTTTACTATTAGGCCTAAATCACAGAGAATTTTTTTTATTTCTTTGCTTTGTGTTCTTGCATGATTCTAACTTGATTAACTGACTTCCTTATTTAGAGTGTTTTTGTCTAACTAGGCTCCTCTGCTGTACTTGAGAGGTGTTTGATGGTTTGATATTTTGCTTGGCCTTAAATTTCCAAGTCCTTGAGCAGCCAGATGTTTGACTTGCCTACGAAGCCCCAGCAGCCAACCTGTACAGGACAAACCCTGGCATTTTGTCCTTGTTGCCTGGCATCAGTGGTCAGCTTGGTATATATAAGGTTCTTGAGTGGTCAAAGGTTTCTACACTGCATCCTCCCAAGGAGCCGGCTCTATGATGCACACTCTAAACACTGTGTGCATCATAGAGAGATTAACACAAAAATTATAATATTGGGTCTGAGATTTGTGTTGGCGATCTCAGATAGGAGCCTCTGTTTTAGGACTGCTGTCATTCTCCAATCTCTTACTGTTTTAAGCAATACACTGTCTGATGTTACTAGCCTTTGGCTGGCTTTCCACCCTTCCTTTCACTGTTCCAGGATGGCTTGATGGCGGAGGAAAGACACTGATCTTAATTCGCCTTGACTGCAATACAGCTGCTAGGCAATTCAAGGCATGGTTGTGCCTCCAGATGCAAAGGCCTTGTGACAGACTTGTCTTCCAGCCAACCAGAATATATCTTAAGATTGCAGGATATTATCAAGAGGAGCATGTGGGATATTCACCATTCCATTGATTAAAATGAGAAGAAGGCAAGACATTGTATGTAGCCGGTAAAAGGAAGCTGGTGTGAAATGCTGCCATACCCAACAGCTGCCTCCAAGGAAATTTTCTTTTCAAAACTCCTTCCCATGTTGTAAATTGTCCTTGCTTGACGCTCCACTGTACAAAGCCTCAGGTACAAAACCCTAAATCACCAAGTCCCATCTTATATCAGGGATTTGATTGTGGCGGAGAGGGGTGGCCCAGTGGTTAGGGCATTGCACAGACTGCCACTCTGGGTCCCTGTGCAAGACCCTGAACTCCACACTGCTCCCTGGGCACCACGCAGTGGCCGCCCACTGCTCCCCAATAAGGTGGATCAAATGCAGAGGGGAATTTCTCCAGTGTGAGATCAATAAAGTTCAATCAATACGTTTATTTCCTTAACAGAGCACTTCCCTCTCAATCTGCAGGTTTACTAATTGTTCCAGGAATTTCTAAAAGTAGAATGGGAGGCAGATATATTAGTTATCAGGCTCCTCCTGAGGCAGACACCCTGTCTACTTTTAAGGTTACAACTTTACTTTTGATCAAACTTATAGTTAAAAGTAGATTGTTTGCTTAGTCGCTTGGTGAGTAGAGAAGTAGGAGAAGGTAGAGCGAATGGCTCGATCCGGTGGAGAGAATTCAACCCTGACTGACTGTTTCTCCTTTGCTCTAACTTTTATCTTACCTCATCCAAAATAGTGAGTTATCCTGAACTATTTTCTATATTTATGCTGCTATAGGCTTAGACTGCTGGAGGACATAGGGACCACTTTTCATCATTCTGCTTCATTTCATCTCTACTCTCCAATTGTGCAACATTTGTAAGTTTTACTAAACTTTATGCTCTCTCTGCTTTTTCTTTTCAAAGTAGCTACATCTGGTTTGTTCCTGTTCTTGTGGGTGCGTTTCCATCAGCTTTTTTAATATGCATTTTGAAGTATCGCATCAGAAAAGCTTGATAGAAACATAAAAATTTAAACAAACTATCTAAAATGTTGTTTTATAAATTTTTTAAAAATGTATTTATCTAAAAACATTTAAACATTCACCAAAGAAGTTTCAAAGCACGCTACGAAAAAGGGTTGGTTCACAAAATGGGAGAAGGAAGCACTTTTTTTTCCGAATCAGCTCTGACGTAGCAAAGTTTTACTCACGACTGATCAGCTGTTTCTTCTGACAGCGTCTTCCTGGATGTTCCTATTATGCATGTAGACAATGCCGGAAGCAGTATCACCTTTAATAACCTAAACCTTAACGTAAAAAATAACTTTCCTGATAACAACACATTCATTAACTTTCCTCCATTACTGATCCATGGTCAGTGCCAGATTGTTCATCATAGACTCTATTGGAAGTTTCTTCTTGTTAAAATGGAGTTTTCCTCTCCACTGGCACTGCATGCATGCTTGGTGTGAGAGATTGCTAAAGGTGCAGCGACAAAATGCAAGCAAAACTCATTGCTGTGAGCTCATTCAGGTGGAGCATCTCTTGAAAGTCAATGACAGGATGCAATCAACAGGTTTTCATTGACAGAACATTTTTAAACAGTCTGACTGTATTTTCTCTGTGCCTTGAGAAGAAAAGGGGTTGTAAATTGGCACAATAGAAATAAACTGAAACACATAAACTGATGCACATCTCACAGCCTGGTCATGCTGACACAACTCCTCAATGAATACCCCTCAGTGCTCATTTAGAGCTTCCCTATGCCGTTGTAGTTTGTTCACTTCAAAACAAAGGCCTCTTCTCTCTTATTGAAATCAACATTATGCCTGAGCTCGGATATTTGCTTGCTGAACAGCTGTTTTCGGGGTCCATTTCCATCCAGTCACCAAGGCTGGATCTGCATAGCATATACAGGTCCCGGGATTCGGTGGCTGCAGGTAGTAATTTCCACCCTCACATTGGAACACCTGGATTCCTCTGCCAGGTTGAAAACCAGAAGCTCTGAGATGTTGCTAAAGCATTTGAGGAACCCAAGTCTCTTTTTGACATATGATCTGACCAATCCCTCTCATCTTTTCTTTAGCTTTGGGACCCCCTAGATGGTGAGAATCCAAATAAGCCTAAAGAGAAGTTTAAAGGCACCAAGTGTTAAGATGCATCATAGTATCAAAGCACTCTTGCTAGTTTTGATACGCGTTTTAACCTTCATAAAGTTATAACCTCTAAAAGAGCAAAGTTGAAGGCACCACTGACTGAAAATAACAGAACTACGCACTCTGCCTCCCATTTCAACTTTACCAACAACCAGTAGATATGCATTATACACCTGTCTGGTGCCTTGGAATCACACTCAGGAGATCTGTTGGCCCTAGAGCGGAGCCCTGGGGTGCCTCATAATTAACATCTGTGCTGGCATTTACTGTAAGTGGGAACAAACTTTGGCATAGAAATGAAACAGACACATTTTGACACAAGTCTATTATCTGAGGCGATTCAATCATAAATAACTTCCAGCAAGATTGTTTCTGTGCTACAGGGTGTTTCTCACACATGAGCCCCATTTACACTCCCCTCTGGAACTGATCCGTGCCGAGTTCAGATCGAGCTTGGATCAGTTAACCGTGCCGAGCTTGGGTCCTTACGACCGTTTACACACCACGCTAGCATAGTTCCTCGCCTCCTAGAGGCGATCTATGGTACTGCTACTTTCTAGAGGTAAACAAGCAAACCAACATGGCAGCACCTGTAATATTCAAGAAGTTTGGTTATAATTGTCTGGCACGGTCGTAATTTGCGTTCCATTTACACTCAACACTCACCTCGGTTAATCTGCTCGGACCAATCTCGGCACGGTTTCAAAAGGGCAGTGTAAATGGGGTAATTTAGTGTGCATTGCAATGCGCCTGTGAATGTTAAAAAGACACATGTTTCATTTTTCAGTTAGTACAACTTTTTTTAAACCAGCTTTTTTACACTCAGGACCACACACTGTATCATATCTTTTGTCATAGTTACGAGATATTATCTCGTAACTATGAGATACTGATCTCGTAATTATGACAGAAGCTGTCAGATTTTTTTTTCTTTGGTGAATGCAATACGCTTCCGTAGAAACGCCTAGGTTATAAAAAAGTTTTCTTCCCTGACTTCCTGGTCAAACACGGAGCAGGCACTTAGAACACAGCAGAAAATGAGAGGTAAATCATCCATAAAAGGTGATTTAAGCATAAAAAGGATTCAGAATATATTTCATAGCTTATTTGCAGATACACCAGGCTGGTGAATGTTGTTGAACTCCGTTGGAAATTGAATTAGAATCTCAATTAAGTTGTCTCGGTAAGTGTTAGCTACCATTTTGTGTATTTAGTACATGATGTAGTCACTGAAACACGATGTAAAAGGGTGTTAAATGATATCTAAGCCTTAATTTGCTATAAACCAGTCGGGATGACTTTTAAAATTAGCTGTGATAGTTGTTCACGGTGTGTAAAATGTTTTACTTACTGAATTGTGTTCTCTAAAAGACGTCCATTAGCCACAAATTACTGGCTGGTGTTTTCTTTTCTATTTATAGAAATATATACATAGAAAATATATATGTATGCTGTTTATTCCAAATGTGATGGTACCAGAAGCCAATTGCACTATTTTTTTTCATTTACACTGGATTTTGGAGAAAGTTGGTTTCAAATCTATTTTCCCCATCTAAGTTAATGTATTCTGCTGCATTTTCTGTATACCGGTACTATATATTTAGGTTAAAAAGAATGGACTAAAAGGCATTAGTAAAAATTAAACAAGGACATTAGTGAATAATATTAATCTTTAATTTCTGTGCATTTTGTGTAGACTGTTTTTTTTTGTAAAGGTTCCTTTTGGATTTGGATTCCTGGGGGTTGTTTCTTCATCTCATCAGCACTTTTGGTCGCCCGGATGCCTGGTTCCTTGGTCCACCTCCTCTACTTAGCAGCATCACAGAGGCTCCTATGACAATTCTTGGTTTGGACACTAAGTATTAAGGGCTGGTAGGACAACTTTAATTTTGAGTGCACTCAAGGGTAGTTTTCATTTTGAACATTGGACCAAGTTAGTTTAATTTTCCCTGAGATCTCAGAGGTACATTGTATTTTTTTTTTTCATTTCCGCATCCTTTTTGCAATTGATATTGTCGATAATCAATGTTCTAATTCAAATTAAACTTTAACTTGTGTGGTGTTTTATTAGGGTGGAAGCTATAATAGCTGTGGGATTTGGTTTAAACAAATCTCTTCTATGAATCTAGATCTAAATAACCCTATCTTTTGATTCCTAGTGCTTTTATAAGCAATGCAACGACTGTAGAGGGTTACAACTGAAAAGTTTTTCAAGGTCTCTCAGTGGCCTTTTTTTCTTCCAAATTTTCAAACGTTCAAATTTCAACAATAACAGAATTTAATTTACTCCATATGTAAATGCTCACATCATGGATTTGTGAAACCTTTTTATTTGGGTGTTTTAGATGAGGAGGGAGTCGTTAACCTTTAAGATAGGTTGGTTAAGGCTCCTCTTACCTGTGGTGCACGATGTAGGTCATAATGGAAACAAGCAAACAGAGCAGCATGACTGCGGTGCAGGCGTACACCACAGGATGTAGGTAATCCCCGGGGTATGGAGGGAAGGACAGCACTCTCTTTAGATCCTGGTAAAAACACAAAAAATATCACACTGTTAGTTAGTTATGGTAGATATTCACTACTGTTTTTGTTAACAAATTAAAGCTTGAGTAAGAAAACAGGCATACATATTTGGATAGTGGATGTACTAATAGCTTCTTATTTCTAAAATGCAAATTCTTATTTAACAAAAGTCAAAAAAGATCAGCATCAATGGTTATAATCCAACCTTTGAAATGGAAATGTTTTGTGAGCACCTCTTTTGGATAAAATGTCCTAGTAAGCAAGTAGGACTTTCAGATCACGCCGGATTGTTGAGGCATGGTTATTTGCTCAGAAACAATGATTGGTTGATCAGAGTCATGACTACCACTCCACTCAACAAACTTTATTTGAAAACAACCACAGCTGCCACAAAGTGCTAGATAGAAGTTTAACCCTTTATAGGAACTCACTGAAGTACTTTGAAAATCCACATTTCAAGCCAACAGTGTTCCTGGAATCCAGGAAAAGACCTTATTACCTTTGTAACATAAAAAAAAATGATATTTTGATGGTAAAAATGTATGTCAATGTGGTAACAAGAAACGCCAATTTGCCCGAATATGTTAAGAAAAATAACAAAAGTGCTTCTAGAGAAATTCATGAAAAACACTCTAAACAGAATTGTTAACTAGGCTAATTCACTTTTTAACTTTTCAGTTAGCTTTATACCATTTAATTGTCTTGTTAACTTTTTTTTCAACTTAATTACCAGTAGGTAATATATCATTGAAGGGTTCATCTTATTGGTCAAATGCCAAAATCAGATATACAGCCATGTAGCAGGATCTTTGCTGAATG